GATCTTATGTACTGCCTTTACCTAAGATACGTAACCCTCTGGAATTTTCAGATTTTAGGCCGATCTCGATATTATGTACTCTATCAAAATCATTAGAGAGATGTGTATATGATCAAATAATGAATTATTTATCAGCCAATAATATATTTGACGATTTCCAAACTGCTTTCCGGGCAGGCTTAAATACTCAAGATGCAATCATTAGATTTTGTGATGATGTACGACTCGGTATGGATAATTCAATGATAACAATAGCTGTATTTTTTGATTTTAGAAAAGCGTTGGATTCAGTAGTATTTGATATACTAATTTTTAAACTTAGAGCAATGGGTTTTGGTAACACTTCCTGCAATTGGTTTTCTTCATATTTGCATGGCCGCTTGCAAGCCATACGTGCCAGCAATGGTGAAATATCTAGTTGGAACGAAATCCTAAGTGGTGTCCGCAAGGCAGTGTTCTGGGTCCATTGCTCTATTCAATATATGTCACAGATTTGGGTCGCTTATTAAAATATAAACATTTGTTCTATGCTGATGACCTTGTGATTTATCTTAGTTGTAAGTTGGGTGATATCGTTGACTGTGTAAGAGCTCTTAACGAAGAAATTATGGTTATATCTGAATGGTGTGCTAAAAATAAACTAAATTTAAATTGTAATAAAACAAAAGCTGTAATCTTCGGTACTCCGCATAGAGTAGCTGAACTCGAATCTGTTTCCGTTCCTTGCATTGCTGTGGATAGTAATGTCATCGGTTACTATAAGTCGGTAAAATACCTAGGAGTAATTCTTGAGAATACGTTAACGTGGTCTCTACAATTTACGAACATGTGTAATAAGAGTATGAGAACTCTTGCTCAGCTCAAGATGAATGGAGGTATTTTTAATCTCCAGTTGAGGAAAAAACTTGTTTCTACGTTGATATTTCCCATTTTCGACTACTGTGCAGCAATTTATACAGACAATACTAGACAATACTATAAGGATCTGCACTGGCTAACTTTGAAGACTAGACGTGAGTTTTTTCTAGCTTGTTTTATTTATAAAGCATTACACGTGAATCAAAAGCCCCTCATTGGAAAAGACTTGCGTGTTTTAGAATCTCGTCTCCGCAGGGGTGACGGATGCCAAGACTTGCTTATGATTCCCTTTTGTCACAGTGCTAAATATGACAAATCTTTCTTAGTAAGCGCAGTAAGAGTGTGTAACAGATTGCCTGAGTATTATACGTCACAACCTACGTTCCTTAATTTTAGAAAATCTTGTTATGAATATTTGTTCTCCTCAGAAGGCTCTTGATTTGTGGATGGTTGAGTGATTTAATGATTTAATTATTTATTTATTTAATTTTTACCGGTATTATTTCTTTTATTTATACTGTTTCTATTATTTTATGCTGTATTTTATGTATAATGTTATACTGTATATATATATATATATTTTTTCTGTATCTTGAATGGCCGCAAAGAGCTTTAACTCCATGGCCAACAAACAATAAATAATAATAATAATAATCCACACACATACACACACACGCACACGCACACACACATACACACACACACACACACATACACACACACACACACATACACACACACGCACACACACACGCGGAGGGTAGAGTTGTTCGCGTCCGTAGGCTCTGCTTTTACACCCTACACGTGCTCTCTGGGTAGTGTCAAATGAACAACACCAACAACGATATGAAAATGTCAGAACAATTTCAAACATCGTCTACGGTGCAGAGGGGGGATACCTCAGTGCCGGCGGGGGAAGGCGTACAAATGGGCCTGAACTCGTCGTTATCAAGTGACCGTTCGAACAGTGGTGTGGACCCCATGGCTCTGCTGTCTAGCAATGCTAGCAATGCTACAGGGAGTAAAGAAACAGCCCAGATGGAATTAGATGCACAGCAAACAAACTTTCCTCTAATAAGTGGAAGACCTGTTGCTCCCGTCAACACTCACACATACCGAGGGACGATCAACCCTCTACCGACTGTCACCAGCCAACAATCGCCAATGGAACAGCTCGGTAGCAAAATCGAAGAATTGGCTGAGTTCATAAAGGATAAAAGAAATCTCCATCATGAACTCAGAAAATTAGTAGCGTCCATTACCACGGCGTATAAGTTGGCCAACAAACCAGCAACGAAGTCGGCGACAACCACGCAAACATCTTTGGGTCTGAACAAAAAATCACAGTCGTTTTTGGTCACTCTTGAGAAAACACAGCATGGAGAAGAGAACAACAAGAAGAGGCCGCTGTCTACGCCCAGCCCTTCCTCAGAAATCGACAAGCCAGCACAGAAAAAGACAGCCCGGGACGATACCTGGACCAAAGTGACTTGGCATAAGAAAAGGAAGGAAACAAAACAGGAGCCAGTAGCACAATCTAGTGAAGCCCAAAACCAGCCAAGTACGGCTGGCACTAAGAAGCCGAGGAGGAAGAAGACAAGAACAAAAGCTGTGCTTGTCCAACCAGCTGAAGGGCGAACATACGCCGATCTCCTCAAGGAAATCAAGGCCAAGGTAAGCCCTATCGAGACGGGCGTAGACATAAAGTCTATCAAAAAGACGAAACATGGAGGCGTTCTCCTTAAAATGGCTTGAAAGACCAAAGACAGCAAAGCTTTCACCGATGCAGTAAAGTCAGCCACTGCAAACATTGGCACGGTCAAGACGTTAACACCAACAACAACAATCGAGATCCTCGACTTGGATGAAATTTCTACCGAGAGCGAAGTCCGTAAAGCACTCAAACGTGAATTCACTGACAGCCTGGAGGTCAAACGGGTAAATTTGACAAAACCTAGTTTTTGAATTTTCAAACCACAATAACTTTTAAATAAATGAAACTATTTTCTCGCGGTTTACAGCATTCAACACAGCTTTTTAAGCTCTTTGAAAAATTTTAGAGCTCGAAATAAGACTAAAAATTACATAGAAATTCTGAAAAAAACTTTTTAACTTCCTGCTAAGAAAATCGAAGATTTTCAAAAATCAGGAAGTTATTGTTTTCACCCTATTTTACAAAAATCGAGTTTTCATTAGATCTCGACGTTTGAAGGTCACAGGAAGCTTCCCTGACTATCCCCGCGAGGTTGTCACTATGTCTGTATGTATGTGTGTGTGTGTGTGTGAGTTTTTTTTTTTTTTTTTTTCCCGTTTTAGGGGGGGGGAAGTCCTTTTTACGGATTCTAGGCATAGATGTTGGCCCGGATCTTGTGGCGACTCGACGCAGCGTCATACTAAAACTCGACGCTAACGCCCCTACCCACTAAACCCTAA